GACTGGACATGATCTGAGCACGTCTTTGTGTTAGGACGTTGTCTTCCACGACGTCTTACATCCTGAGCTTCAGATTTATTTTGGAACGTTAAGTTTTGATATTTGGTGACGAGCCGTCTGACGAGTTTCTGAAGTTTACCTTCGATGTATCAACACAGTCAGGCTGCCCTTCAGTATCTACAGTGTGTGTGTGTGTGTGTGAGCTGGTTTCTGCCTTTGATGAATAAACCATTACCACACACACACACTGTTGTCTAAAATAAACAGGCTTCATTCCGTTCAAATATTAATAAACACATTCTGCTGTCCATGCCGCTGTGTGTGTGTGTGTGTGTGTGTGTGTGTGTGTGTGTGTGTAATTGGGTTCCTCTCCTGTCAATCACGTTGATATAAATATCAGATTAAATATTTGGTTGCTAGGCAGCGGTATTGATCCACGGTTGCCCCCGGCGACACATGGCTGTTATGGGATTGGTAGATCGGTCTTTCTCTGGCTGATTGTGTTACAATAACCCGTCTATTTACACACACACACACACACACACACATATTCTTGTACTTCTATTTTGTGAGGACCCTCACTGACATAATGCAGGTCATTCCCTCGCCCCTTATCCTTACCCTGACCATCAGGAGTAAATGCTTCACCCCCAACCCTGAACCTAACCCTACTGTAACCTGAACCCTCAAACAGGCCTGTAAAGAGGAGAGGAGCGGCCTCAATGTCCTCACTCTGTGCTAAATTGCGTGTTTGGGTCCTCACTATGCAGCATGTACAAGCACCCACACACACACAGTTTGTGTTTAAATGGATGAACTGATGAGTGTGTGTAACGCTGATTGTTTTGCCGTCTGTAATTAAAATCCACTTTAATTAAAATATGAGTCAATTTGATCAGAATGAGTCGATTATAAACTCTTCTAATGGAGCTGAAGAGAAGGCCTCACTTTAATGACTCTTTTATTAGGATCATTAGTACCAACATACAGTAACAGTAATTCAGATTACTGTGTGTGTGTGTGTGTGTGTGTTAATAGTATCTTCTGGTCACTAACAAAACGCTTCAGGAAGCAGTTTGTTCCTAATGAGCTCTTAGAGTCAGTTCTCTCTTCACAGTGTTATTTAGAAAAGGCTCTTTGTAGTTCTCACATACTTCACTTAAATTAAAGTGTAGTTATTATCTCTACGTCTGGTTTTAATGTCGCAGTTAAAGGTATTTCTGCAGGAACTGTCGGTTGCTGTTCTTAAACAGCTCAGTCACCAGAAAAGAATGTTGGCATTGTACATTTTTGCGAACCACAAATTTGTGCATTTCATACGTATGTGAGCTGACTGTCATCAGGAGGTGGAGAAGATGGTGGATGGGGTGACACCTCGGAGAGACGCCTGCTCAGCTGCAGACACTGTTCAACACCAACACGCAGCTAAACTAGATGTGGTTTAGCGAGTCATCTGCGGTGTCTCCTGCTGTGATGGTACCACAAAGAGCGAGTATTTAAAGCCAAAACATGATCTTTGCTGACCATAACCAAGTGGATTTTGAGCTTAAACATTACCACGTGTTAGCCACAGCTTTATTGAAACGTAAAGAAAACATAAGTGTCAATGTATCCACCACATAGTAATGTATACACATAATGATGGTTTGTAGGAACATACAATACGATAGGTTGTTCTCACACATCAGTTCTACATTTTCTTACCAAAAGTAATGCACTAAAATTCAATCATATCCTATCTAATGATGAGCCAGTAATTTGGCATAAGCCACGTATTTTGGACCGATGATCACGAGAACAATGTGATGTTGGAAGGAAAGGAGGAAGCAGTCCTGAGCGGTACAGTCAGGAGGCAGGTTGGGGCAGTGGATGGGTCACAAAACACAGGACTTTCCTGAGGAGACCGGTGTTCAGAATCAACCTTTTCTCATTCTGAAGTCGTCAAATCCTGCTGCTTTGTCAGTGATTTCAGCGTCAGAGACCTGACGCCAAAAGTCACCTTTCGTGGGTATGATATGCTGCTGGGCGACGTCAGGTTGAAACACTAGCAGTAACGATGTAATATAAGGAGCTAGAAAGTCCCTACAGGTCAGGCGGTAGGGGTGGTGGATGGGTCCAACAAACCCTGGACTTTCAGACAGGAGCCTTGTGTTTGCTTCTTATATAAATGTAGAGCCAAACTATGATGTTGGAGTTTAAGTATTTCGGGATCTTGTTCATGAGTGAGGGTAGGATGGAGCGGGAGATTGACAGGCGGATTGGGGCAGCGTCAGCAGTAATGCAGGCGCTTAACCGGTCCGTTGTGGTGAAAAGGGAACTTAGCCAGAAAGCGAAGCTCTCAATTTACCGGTCGATCTACGTTCCAACCTTCACCTATGGTCACGAGCTCTGGGTAGTGACGGAAAGAACGAGATCGCGAGTACAAGCGGCCGAAATGAGTTTCCTCCGCAGGGTGGCTGGGCTCAGCCTTAGAGATAGGGTGAGGAGCTCAGACATCCGGGAGGGACTCGGAGTAGAGCCGCTGCTCCTCCACATCGAGAGGAGCCAGTTGAGGTGGTTAGGGCATCTGGTAAGGATGACTACAGGACGCCTCCCTTGGGAGGTGTTTCGGGCATGTCCAACCAGGAGGAGACCTCGGGGCCGCCCCAGAACACGCTGGAGGGAATACATCACCAGGCTGGCCTGGGAACGCCTCGGAGTTCCCTCAGAAGAGCTGACGGAGGTGGCTGGGGAGAGGACTGTCTGGGCTTCTCTGCTGAGGCTGCTGCCCCCGCGACCCGGACCCGGATAAGCGGAGGATGATGAGTATGAGTACGAGTACAAATTATGATGTGTCTTTCTAAACCTAACCACGTGTTTTGTTGATGTCCCGGTGTTGGTAGCAGCATCTTGAAACATCAACAGCAGACACAGGAGGATACCGAGCAAATAATACATTGATGTGAAAGGCCGGTGACAAAGCAGTGATATGTGACGACTTGAGATGAGAATGTGTTGTCATTTAGTGGTACATCATCACCATGTTTCTTTTTCCTCAACCTAGCCTATAACTGTATGTTAAGTAAGTATTAAGTAATTTAGGAGCTAATTTGTTGGATATCATACGAAGGGTTGTGTGAGGATATGGTCATTCATGGTCACAAGAACAAGCACTTGGGTACTGTGTTTGATTCCCAGTTAAAGTTTGATAAAAACACTGAATGCATTGTCAAACGAGGCCAGCAAAGAATGCACTTACTAAGAAAGTTGAACTCTTTTAATGTCTGCAACAGAATCGTGTGTATGTTTTATCAGTCTTTTATCAAGAGCATTGTCAAGGTCAAGGTCTGCTCTAAAATAATTGGTGTCCAGCAGAGGGATCTGAGTTCTTCTTTTTGAGTTTGGTCTTTTGAGCTAATTTCAACAATCATAACTGCACAGGGTTCAAGTTTATACATAACCCACCTGTTCTCATTTTTTTAAGACTCAAAGTTACGCACTATTAAGGGCAGATCCACCCTCTCACCTAAATATGGTCACATCTGGCTCCAAACCCAACATGTGACAGCCCAAGTGTTGAACTTGAGGCCTCAAAACGGAACCAATGAGTGACGTCAGGGTAGCTGCATGCATTATTTTATACAGTCTATAGTAATGGCTTCAATTTTCAGCCTCGGAGGTTGCCGCCTGGTACAAACATTACATTTGTTGTAATGGAAAACCAATACTTTAGCAAGCTAACTGCAGGCATCCTCCCGTTTTAAAGAAAACAGGCCAAATCTATGTTGCTCTTCATCCCAAACGTTACCTTCAGTGCTAGCCAGCCAAAGTGAAACTAAAAGCCAACCCCAGATTTGGAACAAGCTTTGTCAGCTTGGCTTTTCACCTCGCTATATTTGTGGGTTGTTTTTGCACTTGTAGCTTCCTCTTGGATGCTGCTAATGGTCTGACACCTGGTCACTGCCTTTTAATAAAGTCCCGACCTGAACTGAGCGCTGTGCCCAGGAACATCCAGAAAACACAGTGAAATAAGAAAAAAATAAAAATCCGAGCCGAGAACAGAATCTCTGCAGGAGAAATCACTTCACCACACACTGACTGAGAAGGATTACATCTGTATGAGTCTATACATAGTTTATTTAAGGAAAACCCTGCAGGGTATATCTTTAAGAAACAGCCAAATAAAACACTGTATTTACGCAGATTAAAACTGGAGAAGAAGAGATGGAAACATTTCCTTCAGTCAAATGTTTCTGTGACTGCGTGGGACTGATTTACGACTGAAAATTAAATGATCATATGATTCTGCAGCTCCTCTGGTTCTCCCAAAATGAGACCTCAGAGCTTCCAACATCATTAGCAAGTAGGTTTTCTTCAGCATTTGGACCGTAAAACATCAATTACACTGGCAGCAGAACACACCCGTCTCATTGTCTTTGGTCCAGCTGCTCCAATGTTTGTTTGGAGTTTGGAAAGATTTTCAGTCTGCAGAGCCGAGTTCCTCCCTTGTCACTCTGTCTGTCTTGCTGCAATTTAAAAACCACTTATCTCTTTAATGTCGGCTCCTGTAAGAAAAACAGCCTCGTTTAAGCCCAGAAGTGATGCGATTTTGAGACAATCAACTGGTTTTAAAAGGTTTTATGAGGCTGATAATTTGGGGGGAATTAACTGGAGCAGTAAAAGAGTCTTTATGTATCTTTGATGTGATCTGAAAATGTAAAATTCACCAAAGTGACCAGCAGTTTTAACCTCTGGCTCTGTGAAGCAGACAATAACCCTCAGCTACTTCCACTTGACTGATGCTCGCTGACTGCCGCAGCTATTACACTCTCACTTCCTGTCTCCTTCTCTCTCTTTATAACACAGTCAGTGTCGCTCGCTCCATTTCCAGCTGACTGATGTTGAGCGATCGCTGCTGACCGTCGCTCTCTCTCTCTAATGTCTCTCCGTCTGATAACTGAGGCAATAAAACCAAATCCAATACCACCAACCATTACTGACATCACTCTCCCTCTCTGTAGTTTACAGTGGCAGGTTCCTCTGACGGTCGCCGTGGGAAACGCTTCCAGTGTTTGCTCAGAGAGCCTCATCTGGATCAACAACAGGACAGGTACGGTGCTGATCCGAGTCCTCACACGGCACATCATCTCTGTTCATTTTAAATCACGACTTCATTATCTCGTTACCTTGAGATAACAGGCCGTTATCTTGGGATTGTTTTGTTAATGTTAACGGAGCAAATGATCTCATGATCACAAATTAATTATGTCATTATCTCCAGATATGTAATTTGGAGTTAATGGACTCAAAAATTCAGGTGTGTTCCTCTGGAAAGGAAGCTCTGCTCTGAGTTTCTATATTTCCAGTGTTCAGAGGTCTGTCAGCAGAGGGAATAAACCTCATGCTGCTTTTGTTTATGGGGAATAAAGCTCAGACTAATAGAATAAAGCTCCCTCTTTTTTTTTGTGGGGAATAAAACCCTTTTTTTTCCTTGTATGGAGGGAAAACTCTCTCTGGGTCTGTTTGTGGGGAAACTCAGCCAGTTCTGCTTTGTTTTGAGAGAATAAAGATAATTCTGCTTCTGTTTTTTGGAGAATAAAACTCTCATTGGATCTTTTTTTGGGGCATACAGCTTGTTTTGCCTTGGATTTTTAAGGATAAAACTAATTATGCTTCTGTTTTTATGCCTCAGTGCCAGAGATAGCTGTGGCCAGAGGCAGTATGTGTTCGTCTGTCCGTCCCATTGTCACAGACGTGATGTCTCGAGAAAGTCTTGGAGCAATTTCCTCAAATTTGGCACAAACGTCTGCTTGGACTTTAGCGATGAACTGACTAGTAGTTGTGAGACAAAGGTCATGGTCAGTGTGACCTCTTGACTTGACTGGTTGGTGAAGGCATCCAACCTTGAGGCAGTAATTCTAGTTGGAGAATGAAGCTAATTCTGGTTTTGTTTTAGGAGAAGAGAACTCTGTTTGGTCTGTTTCGGGGAAATAAAGCTGTCTCTTGTTTTTGGAGAATAAAGTTCATACTGCATCTGTTTAAAGAATAAACTCTCACGTCCTGTTTTTGACAAATAAGTCTGGTCCTGCTTCAGTTTATTGGGATTAAAAATGATTCTGCTTCAGTTTTCAGAGAATAAAGATAAATATGTTTCTGTTTTTTTGAGGACTAAAGCTCCCTCTGGTTGTGTTTGTGAACAGCTGTTGACAGAATGTGGGTTCTGGCACATCTTTACCTACTTGCAGGATGCATTGTGAAGGGAGGCAGTCTCAAAGTTCAAGACTTGAAGTTTAATTTCAACTGGAGGGAAGGGAGCTGAGGAAGTGGGCCAGACTTGGGTCAGCAGCTATTTTCCTTGTTTTCCTCACCTGGCTGTTATACAAAGTCTGAGAGATCCTGCAAGCTGTTCTACTAAAGTGTACAGCCTAATTTTAAACCTCACAGACTGCGATGCCACAAGAAACAACAAAAAATAGCTTTAAGCACACGAGGTGTAAAGATGGTGTGGATCCTGCAGTTACTTTTAATTGTTGTAGCTTTTTCATTTTCTGTTGCTTTCTATTTTTAAAATGTAACTCCTGTTTAAGTCAGAATAAATGTTGGTCATCTACATGTGTTTATCTTTAGAATGTAATATAAATGTTTTGTAGTTTGGGCTCCACAGATTCCATGTTATCAACTTGAAAACCATGTACATTATTGAACAACTCAAGATGGCTGTATGACTGCAACATTGGTTGTATTAAGATTAACAATATTTTGTAGTTACAGCAGGTGTTTTTGGACCATAGAGACTTTTTCATAGTTCTAAAAAACCCCGTTTTTGTTGTGTCTGCACTGTAAGAATCAGGACCGGTCATAGTTCTTAAAACTACTATTTAAACTTTTTTAGCTTCTATTTCAGAGTAGATTCTCTGCTAGCACAAGTGGGACCATTAGTGACGTAAGTGTATGTTGATCACTCAAACACATGATTTAATGCAGCACTGGCAACCGCCATATTTAAGCGCCGGGTAAACAGTTGGGGAAAAACACAAACAGCTCATAATGAAAAGAAAATAAAAGTCCAGACTTTACTGTGCAAATATGTGACGTTGGACATTGTAACGCAATTTTGACTCATCAAAGCAAAAATGATGTTGCTCTACAAATCGTTGACCAAGTCATTCTTACAGTACATCACTTCAATGTCCCTATAAGTGGTGTAAATGCAAACAGGAAAAAAAAAACCCTTCAAGGTATGTAACTTGGGGGGCTCACCAAAACTGTTTAGTCCGAAAACACCTTTTTGAGCACACTGTCGATTAAGTTTGGTTTTAATTATCTTAAGCATGGATTCAATTTAGGGTGACAGACTTTCAAGACATCCCTATTTATTTGATATTTTTAAGAACGTCCATATTATTTAGCCCCAAGTCGGACATATGGATCAGCTTTCATAGAATCCTGAGTCACTCAGTCGTAATTCCAACTTGAATGTTGACATTAACATTATTTACAAATTGGAGACTTGTAACACTGTTTGCCTCAACTTCCAGTTTAAAAAGAAATATGCATCACACAAAGAAAGATATGACATGATTTCATGCAACTTCAAAATAATGCGAGGAATTCGACAGAACAGCGTGGTATCATCTGCATATCGGAGGACTTTCAGTGAATATCCTGGCTTTGTGGTTGAATCACTGATTCTCTAATGAACTGACTAATGGCTAGTGTTTTATATTGTGTCACAGAAACTCACAGGATTGGTCAGATGGACGACAACACATGGTTGCTAGGCAACATCAATCAGACAGGCTACTTCCGTGTGAACTATGACCTCCAGAACTGGAAACTGCTGATTCAGCAGCTGCACAACAACGCTCAGGTATGCCTGTTTGTAATCTCTCTCTCTCTGGCTGTTTGAAAAGCTGTCTCTCTTGTCTTTAATCCTGTCTCTCTGTCTGTCTCACAATTTGCCTGTCTCTGTGTCTTTGTCAGATCATCTCAGTAGGAAACAGGGCAGGACTAATTGATGATGCCTTCAACCTGGCCAGGTGAGTCACCTTTTAGCCATGAAAAATCTTGTGTCAGTCTGGTTTGCAGTCTCCTGTTCACAGACTGAGTGTTGGCCTCACACACACACACACACACACACACACACACACACACACACACACAGAGTGTCAGGGACAGTTCATTATAACAGAAGAAAGTGTTGGACGAATGATCTCTGTTTCCCGTGCTCTGTCTGCGAGAGGCTCATCTGTCACTCAGCCTGTAAGACATCTGGACACACAGAGGGAGAGAGCAGCCGGCCTGATCCATTGTTTCTGTCTGTTTCTGTTTGTGTTTAATTGCTTTACAATAAGGAGTGAGTCTTTGTCGAACAGGACCGCTGGTGTGTCTGCCGCCCTCAGATACGTCTGTTTTGATGAGCTGAATGTTGTAAATGGACAGATATATTTCAGAGCTGTCATCGTGTGTTTAGCCAGCAGAAAGGAGGAGGTGTTGCTGCTGCATGTTTGACACTCAGCTGTGCAAACAGAGGTTTACAAACTGTATTTGAGTTCAGACCTTTTGATTTACATACACAAGTTTATTTTCACATATAAGGTCAACCCAGTCACCAGACAAGATGTTGGCATTGTACGTTACAGCAAAGCACAGATACATTTGTACGTCAACCCCTGAGTTAGTGACAGATGACATTTCATATTTATTCAAAGCATAACAACAAAAGTGCAGAACAACTCATAAACTGTGCAATTAATCCAAATGGTAGATGCAAAAAGTGCAGAAAGTTAATTTAAAACCGTCTATTTGGATGAATTGAAGTATTTCCTGTGAAAATTAAATTAAAGAGTTTTCTGATATTTTTACTAACGTTTTACACAATTGTCTGTCTGTATTGTATTTTTCTTTTTTCCTTCATTTTAACAATCATACATTCTTAATAGGCTTCTTTTTTTGTGACAAATTCAGTGTTTTATTCTCCCAGGCGTTCGGCCATTGTTCTATTAGCTCTTTGGTTGTTTCATAATTTTAAAGCAGGATGAGTTGTTTATCGCAGAGTGAAGATTCTCTGTGAATACAACTCGTGTTTTTTTCTTCACTGTGTCCTTATCCTGTGAGATTTTTTTAAAGTTTATATCTTGAATAATGGAATAAGATTTGAAATTAACAATTCATTTAGTTTTCCTTGCAGAAATGAATGAAAGGCTGAGATAGGGGCGGTACACATGCCACATCTTTATCTGCCTAGAAAATGCGAGGTCGGGTGCAGGGTTCTCCTCTTGTACCTTTTCAGTTTTTCTGTTCTTTCATAACCAGCACTGTATCTGAGTGCAGAGCTGTTTATAAGTGTGTAGGTGTGTAGTCTGTGGGACAAATGTAAATGCGGTGCGCGCTGCTGCATTCCAAAAGTTGAGCTCAGTTTATCTCAGTGCACAGCCGTTGCACCCTGAAAAACAGGCGCTTGGGAACACGTGTGCGCCGCTTTGGCGTTGCATTGAAAACAACAACACGGCATGTCTACAGCCCCATGAAGGTCTACTGTATGTATTTTTAAAATGTTTTGTAACACGAATTAAAATAAAGTTCTCACGACCCCCCCGTAAAGCTTCGTCTACCCCTGATAGGAGGTTCAGGACCCCTGGGTTGAGAACCAGTGATGTAATACGTTAAAACTTTACATTTCTATATGTTTCAACGACACTTTAGTTAATGTGTAGTTAGGTTTAGGCACAAAAACGTTTTGGTTATGGTGAGGAAAGGGTCATGTACTACCCTGTACTATTTGTTGGTGTTGAACAGTGGTCTGCAGCTTGGCAGCTGTCTCGCCTAGGTGGCACGCCGTCCCCCATCTAACACACCCCCTGATGACAGCTCAGCTCAGACACTACACCTCTCTGGAAACAGTGTTGAGTTACGTATCAATCGTAGAAATGTGACGTGGTTTGCAGAAACGTACAGTGCCAACGTTTCTTCTGCCGACTGGGCTGAGCTCAAACACTCTTTAGTGTGGTGTTAAAAGGCTTCCTGTTACCATGGTAACCAGGGGATTTTTCCAACTGACAATCAGCTTTAACCAGATGAACACTTGACAAACCCACCTGTTAGTCCTCCTCACTGACGTCCTCTAAAAATTGAAACAGATTGAAAGTGATTTTAATGAATCATAAATTGAATCTTTGTGTCGATCGTCATCAACTTTGGTTAAAGTTCTCTGCTCTGTGACCACAGAGGGCAGCACTGAGATCAGCACTGACAAACTGCACTTCAAACATCATCATCTTCTAATCCGTTTTGCCTAATCTGAAAAGTTCTCACAGTATTAGTCAGTGAGGCTGAACACAGTGTTGAGCTCCTCTGGTTCTGCAGCTCCTGGAGCTGTTCTGTCAAAAAGGGCTGAGTGTCATTTTAATTGTGCAGTTTGGGAACTTGCAGACACAAAATATGTTGTTGCATTCACACCTCCAGCACTTCTTCAGCATGCACACAAGCCTAATAGGAGGCCGCGATGACGGAGTTGTGCTGGTCAGGAATATTGGAATGAGCCCACGGTGACAGATAGCAGAGTGTCCTCTGTGCGTTGTCAGAGCTGTAGTTGGTACAGATGTCATCCCACAGTGACAGGATCACATCTGGCTCTGTGAGATGACCAATCCATGTTGCTGCATTCAGAAAAGAGCGCTTACAAAAAGGAATCCAAAACCAACCTGAGCCAGACGGAGGCTCGGTGATGAATGAGCGATCAGTGAGGCTGCAGCCACGCACAGGTAGAGGAGGGTGCCGTTTCTCATCGTGATGTTTTCAGCCTGAAGCTTTTTCAGCGCTGTAACCAAAATCTACTCTGACACCAGCCCTATAACTCAGGCTCCCCCGTCTCTCTTTCCTTCTTCTGTATCTGTGTCTCTCTGCCATCTGTCCTCTGTCATGTTGAATGAGCAGCAGCTAGAGACGACTGAGATGTCGACCTCTGCTCCAGTGTGTGTGCGTGTGTGTGTGTGTGTGTGTGTGTGTGTGTGTGTGTGTGTGCGAGTTAGGAGCTCAGCAGGGGGTTTCCATCTGTACAGGAAAAGAAAGTACAGATCCATTTAATATTCAAACTGACAGCAGGAGACGCTCTTACTTCAGCCTGCATCTGTCACCATGGCAACACTGAACAACCAAGAGGTTTTGTTTTATGATGAGGTTTTTCTTCAGAGTAGTTCAGAGAGTTTCATTTCAAAGGGAGACCTCATTTTAACTGTTTTCATTGGATCTATCCAGCAGTGGAAAGTAACTGAGTACATTTACTCAAGTCCTGTACTTAAAGCCCCCCCAGTCAGTTTTACAATGGCACCTACTGTGATGAATTTAGTGTTTATCAGAGCAAGATTAGCGCATCACAGCAAATCTCTGTCTTTCACTTGCCGGCTGCTGCACTGAGGAACAACACCGCCGCCCGCCGGTCACAGTCCACTGAGGAAAGACATGATGCCAAGGTCTGCTGTTTGTCAGCGGCATCGTGATTCTTTTCATTACAGGAGTTTTTGACTTTTTGACTTCCCAGTGTCTGTGTGGACCTTTTAGAAACTGATGCCGGTTGACGGTGCAAACGTTCAAGACATAGACTTCGTGTCCACGTCTTGAAACAACATGTCTACGTAACATGTCTATCCATTCTGTGACACACAACACATTCTCACTCCGATCTTGTCGAGCACGGTCTCACTCCAAAGTTTTCTAAATTCAGCACTTGGCAGTGACTTGTGGCGTCAGAAACGTGATGCGCGGCCCCTTGCCATTATAGTTTAAAGGCATAGTGCACCCAAAAATGAAAATTCAGCCATTATCTTAGTCTACGACCAAACGTGGACATGTGACAAGGTCACAGGGAGGATGTGTTGCCTCGTCACATGTCCACGTTTGGTCATGGACTTTCCACGTCCACATATGACGTCCAAGGTACCCTGGGTGTGTTGGTTGTTGACGTTCTGGGACGCCGTGTCAACTTCAGCCTGTTACATGCATTGTCTGTTTTCAAAATACACTTCTGTTTTCACAGGAAATGTACAGTTTGATACAGTCTCTTTCAAAATAAAAACACTACAGCAATGTGTTCCAGAAATTATGACCTGGTAATTCAAGACGATCCACAGACCATGTTGTCAGAACTTTATTCTTTTTTACCAAAGTACACCTGCCAACCGTATCACCGTGCAGAGGGAAGTGTGCATCTACTCATCGATGAGATGCTCGTACTTGTGACAGTGTGACATGTAAACATTAATGGCGTCCTCCTCAGTGGTGCTAGGTGAGCTAGCAGTAGATGAATGCTTCCGTCTGTGCAGTGATACATTTGGCAGGTGTACTTTGGTAGTGCATTTGTTGACTTGTCTGACTTCTTGTTAGCAAGTGTTTCAATCTTCTGAAATGACAGGAATGACTTTGGTCAGTACAGCGCTGATGCTGCTGGTACAACTTAAGGCACAAAGTACAAAAATGTGACCCCAGCTGAGATCAACTGATCCAAGACAAACTTATTACGTCCTAATGATCTCGTGTTCTTACCCAGAGTCACATGAGAAGGTTGAGGTGAGTTCCTGAGACGTCCTGAATGTGTCGAGCTCAGCACAAAGGTCAGAAGCAGAAAAGCTGCTGGTGACAAATTACACGTTCTTTATTTCAGCTTTTTTCACATTTCAGATTTCTGATCATTGAGTTGACGACAGTTTGATGATCTTTAATCTCTGAGTTAACTTCAGGAATGCTGATTCCTCCTCTGCTTAGTTTGATTGGCTGAGACGTGAAGCAAACCACACAGCGCTAAATGCTGATTGGTGGTGGCAGGACTGTGTGTGTGTGTGTGTGTGTGTGTGTGTGTGTGTGTGGAGCTAGTTTAGCAGCAGTTTAGCAGTAATAAATGGCTGTGTCTCTGTGAGTGTGCGCTTAAACGGTGATGGATGTCGCCTCTCTTCTTTCTCTGTGTGTGTGCGTGCGTATGTGTGTGTGACCGCAGCAGTCCCTCGTTAGCTCTCCACTGAGCCTTGCTAATGGCTAATGGACAAAC